AGGATTAGTACTGATTTATCTCCTGGATATGACATCAATAGGCTGTTGCTTGGAAATTTCTTTTCGTTATAGGTCTAGCTGTATGATATATTATGACATAAACAGAATATAGTTCGAATTTTCAAAAGTCTCCGTTTTGGTCCTTCTACACTGAAGCGCACCCCGAGTTTTCAAACTAAAACGGGGTCAGCAGCGTTTTCAAAAGTCAGTTTTTGAGGTTCGAAGGCTCTGTTGTAGTATGGACGCCATATGTATCGGTATCAAAAGTTATGCGTTTTAATATCACTAGTGTAAACAGGGCCTAAGGAACACTACGTGTGGCCTGAAAATGTAAAGGTGCCATGTTTATTTTACATCATAAGGTATAACTATTGCTGACACATAGGAATATTTCTCTCTTGAGTCATTTACTCAACTTCAAATTTTTTTTGGTCTATACATTTAACATCAATGGGGCCCAATTTTGTTTTTGTACTATTATATTTACTCTTCTCTGTTTTTTTTTTTAGGTTTTAGGTGGATGATAAAACCCTAAAAAAACAACCCATAGACTCAAAGGATAGATAGCGAGGGTAAATTCTACAGAGTAATATACAGAGTACACACAAGACAACAAAAACAGCCTAGCGACCACACAGAACATGTCACCTACAATATTTTAGTATTAGGAAACCACTCGCATTTTCTTCAGAAATTTTGAAAATACACCTACACAGACACGATGGAAAATGAAAATGAGCCTAATTATGGTTTCATGCCATGCATTGAAATCTCCCTGTGCTATTTTAGCAAACAGACCCAAACATGTTTTCTTCTAAACACAAGTTACCTCATTAGTTCCTCTTGGATTCCATAAATACAGTTCTCTGGTTTTACTCCTCATAAGTTCCAAGGCATCTGATTGGTTCACAAAAATGCCACTCATTCACACAGCCGGTCACAACAACCAGTTGTCTGCAATGCACCCTTGAACCCTGCCACGCTGTACGCCTACCAGATCCTGCTGCTGCGAACCCCCCGTCTAATAACACGCTTGCTCATGGGACTGTGTGATATATATAGAGCACCTCTGCCTGAGACGCGTGTCATTGGTGGCCTCACAGTCTGTGGTCTGAGATGAATTGTTGCCATAGTGTTTCTGACCAAATACACCAGGGTGGTGGCATAAAACGAATGGTAACCAGGCTCACAGCTTCTTATTTTCTTCCCTTCTCTGTCTTTTCTCCCTCTGTTTCCCATTACTAACTTCATCCCTCAGTACAATTAGAAGGGGCTGCTTCTGGGCTTATAAGGAGTGAGGTTTACATCAGTGGGTTTGGTAGGACTTTGTTAGAGATTCTCTTTATCAGTGGGTCTTGGATTGAGATTGTTAACGTGAAGGACTTGGACTCATGACTCTTATTAATGAACTCTAGTTTGAGTTGTTCAGAGTGGAGCATAATCTGGCCTGAGCAACTCGCCATTTTAAGACACATTTACGCTTTGAAGTGGCCTGGAGGCTTGTGGTTTTTGAAGGCCATCCCTCTTGCGTCTGTACACTGTGTTAAGAGCATTCTTGGACTGGGATGTGATGGAAAAAAGACCTACATTGCAGACAAGACTTAAGCAGTGTTTTCACATGTTTATGTTTATAGAATGCAACACTGTTTGTAGCCTATAGTTGGAAAACATCACTATTGCTCATACTACAGGATTAGGATTTTAAATATACATCAAACTATAGGTATTTATCTTTGGTGGTGTATAACTTGTCCCGAACTGTTTATGCTATAGAGATGAATGATAGCTCGAATCATGCAGATTGTCGAGGAAAGCTGTGCTATTACTTTTCTAAACGTGTGATTTCTGGTGATGGCTGACGGATAATAAAATGGGCAAAAAATAGCATTGAATAAGGGAAACAAGCCATCTGGGGAATAGGGATTTCACTTGGAATGTAGTGTAGAATATCATCAGAATATCATTAGCTTGGCCTATGTTTCAATCCAAAGTTGCGCATATCGGAATATCGCATAAAACATTTGCGAATAAACTTGGATAAAGTTTCCATCCAGTGCCAAACACAACAAAATCGTCACTTCCTGATAAACTTAATATCACCTAAGGTCTATTTATACTTCTGCGTCGAAGGCTATGCACGTAGGCGATGCCATCATGAGTATTTATACTTCTGCGTTCAGGTCTTGGTTGCACTGCAGTACTGCTCCGAAACACTAGTTGGCGGCGGAGGGTTTTAATGTTCCACTGTGTTTAGATTCCTCACGGCTAGGTTACTACAATCAATGGCAAATGAAAGCGAGCGGATCATGTTGGAGTTGGAGCTTATTGAGGTGGAAAAACAGTTAATTTTAGTGAAATTACTAAAACTAAAAGGCAGAAACGAGAGAAGAAGTCAGAGGAGATTGTACGTGCGGAAATGCATTGGAGGAATGCATTGCGATGCTACCAAGCCGACCAATCACAGATCTTGCGGTCCGCGTCGTTGTGACGTGTAGTTACATTTTTGAGGAGGTGCGCGTCAGGCTACGGCGAAGGGTACGCGGTATGGTATGCGTCTGTGCGTATGCTACGTCGTACCTACTGCGCACAGTCTACGCAGAAGTATAAATTGGCGGCCTTTAGAAAAATGGAAGATATTATATACTCCATATAATAATAAACAAGGTGGGTTACAAGTCCAACTCTCTAACCACCATTAGGCCACAATTGTCCCCAAAAACAATAATTTCGTGTAATAATTTACTTGCGCTTTTTCTCAATTGATTTTAAATGAATAATGACTGTTTACTGTTGTCTATTTAGAGCTGCTTAACAGCAGAAATTAATTCTGTTTACATCATTAAGGCCGTGTGTCCACCGAAGCGCTTTTAGCCAGCTGAAAACGCTAGACGCTCTGCTGAAGACGCCGTGCTTTGGGCGCTTGAGAGCGTTTTGGCAGCGCAGCGTTTTTACCATTAAGACGTTTCGTTGCTATGATACAGAATATCCGCAGCAGAGTTTACTTTTAACTGATTTCGATAATTTGTTTCATACAGAAAAAAATTTTCATCCATTTTGGTCGGTGAAATATCGTTGTACAGAAAGAATGTTGTAACAGTTGGTCAGTGTGGTTTAGTCCCGCCCCTCCTCCACTGTGATTGGACGGGTGGGTAAAAAGTGGCAGTGATGAGTGCTGCGTTTTATCCAAAGTTGAAAATTTTTTCGACCAGTAAAAAATGTTGGGCGCACAGCGCTTCAGCGTGAAAAAAAAACAAATTCAGCGCCTCGTTACGCCAGACGCATGGAAAAACGCCTTGGTGGACACACGGCCTGAATCATTATTTTCTCGTTTTGTCACTGTAAAGCTGTTTTGAAACAGTCTGTATTGTATAAAGTGCTGTATAAATAAAGGTGGCTTGACTACTTGGGACTGTAAGCAAACAAACATCTAGAGCAACTCCATAGCAACATAATAAACATCTAATTAATCGAGTGAATATGAATAAATATGAACCAAACTATTTTTTATTGTGCAAATGTTTTGAAAAAAGTGATTGGAAGCACCTCATGTCCCTATTCTTCTCTTTTTTCTTAGATTATCACAAAAGTATTCATGCTTAGCTCTTCGTGTATCACTGGTCAAAACCATTTGCAAGATAACAGAATGATGGCCTTCACATGAACCCCAATCATTTGTTTCTGCCTTTAGCCGTTCTTGATTCTCAGAATCCTTGTCTTTTATTAGCATATAAATAGCTCTCCGTTAGTCATGGTGAGCTCAGATTTGATAATAGTGACATACTGGGACTGGAATGTGCCATTTCTGAGTGTTGATGAGCTGCTATTTTAACTGCTCCTATTTATATCATATTGTGTAACTTTTTTTGCAGCTAAATGTCAAATATCATATATAAAAAACTATTTAAACCAGAGCTCTTTAAAAAATGGATTCAATGCAAGTTGAGCTTTTATTTATTTATTTTTATACATGTTAATATTAGAGTACTGTGAGTATTTGGTTCCTAACCTTGTTATTTATGTCAAATATTATGTATCTACTTATTATTAATATATAATTGATGTATATGCATAATTTCATCTTCCTAGAAGACTAGTAATTAAAACTATTAACCCTTATGGCTTAAATGGGACAAGTTTTATTATGACTTGCATTGTAACTGCATTACTGTTCCTTTAATGCACTGAGAGAAGGAAATATTTTTTTGGACGGGTGTTAGTTCAGCAGGGCACACAATGAAAAGTGCCTACGGCTGAAATTAAAACCCTCAGCACAACAAATCCGTCTAGATAACCGGCACCAGATAGAATAGTGCAAGTTCATGCATGATATCACTCAGTAAACATTGTCCAGAGGTTCTGTGACTCACGAATCTGATTCCATCATTTTATTATACGCTAACAAAGAACTTCTATCGGCCGCCTTTACATTTGTAAAATCTCATTTGTATTCTCCTCACAAAAGTCTCTGTTCCTTTGTGTGTCCTTCTGCTGTCCCTCAATAACTGCCCTCATTCCGTTACACTTCCTCCCACTGAACAAACATGATGTGTGTTTGTCCATGTGCTTTGCTCCCAGCCTACCAACACACACACACATACACACCTCTGTTAGCCGTGATGCTAATGTAAATGAATTGGCAGAAAAGTTATTATTTGTATAGTTGTACCTGAGACCTGGATATTGATTTGCATTCTCTCATTCATTTGGTTTTCATTTCATGCTCAGAGTAGCAGGAGTGTGTGTGTGTTTTGTGGGGGGTAACCAGAGCAAAGGTGTGAACAGCTGTGTGTTACTACATCAACGACCATATGTCAAAGCCCTCCCCTCTCAACAAACACATATCTCACACACATTCAGTTAAGATGAGAGAGGCTGCTGAGATGTCTGCAGGCCTTTTCTCCAGCTCAGTGACTTTACCTCTCTCCTCTTTTTCTCCTCCTCTGTCCCACCGAAGTCAGGATGGCAATAGCTCATTCATGTCTTTTTTTCTTCTCTTTCAGTCGGCTGCGTCGGACGGAGGTGAGTACTCTGTTTAAACCCTTTCTCAACAACAATTCAGGAAGATGTTAATTCTGCTGTCAGTCGGCTTTAAGTGGAGATTGCTATTATAATAAATATTTTAGACTCAAAGCACTGTTGTTTAATGTGTGATCCATGCAATTTTTTTTTTGTGTGGTAAAAGTGTTGATTTGTCTATGAAGAGATGAGGAAAAATGGGACAAGAGAAGTACAAGATCATAATTTAAGCTTAAGTTTTACTCTGAGAATGAAACAAACCTCACTTTTTCCAAAAAATATATATAGGCTAATATTAAATATATATTGATGAGTTACAGATTTGATTGTGTAATTGAAGTAATCAGTTGAAATTGTATAATATACAATTGAATAGAGTTTAGAATTATTTAAAATACTTTTATTTTTTTATTTTTATTTTTTTATTTAATTTTATTCAACTCATCATGCAAAGACATCATGTGATAATGAAGACAAAGAAAATGATAAAAATTCAGCTTTGATCATAGTAATAAAATTTATTTTAAAAAATATTACAGAAAACTGTTTTAAATTGTAATAATATTTCGCAATATTAAGGTTTTAATGCATTTTTGATCAAATGAATGCAACCTTGGCGAGCATAAAAAAAAAAAACTTTTTAACAGTGTGTGTATTTTTTTATCTATTTACTTCCATTATCTTACTGAGTTACGTACTGTAGGTGAATTATTTATTTTGACGTCCATATACAATGTTACATTTTTAATATATCCTCTTTATACCCCCCTAAAGCACTTAAAGGTGCTGTATGCGACGTTTAGCGACCTCTAGCGGTGATGTTTCAGAATGCAACAAGAGCGCTCGTGCTCGTGCTCAATCTCAAGAGCGAGCAATCATTCACTACCAGCCACACGGAGACTTTCAACGCAACGCGAAATTATCACACATGCTGGAAACTAATGTAAACTCCCACTGCAGGTACAATAATAGCCTACTTTTATCAGCTTGACGTTGAAGTAATGCTCTGTGCTCGTTCTATGATCATAATGTTACAATAAACTGCATTTAGCCGACATCTGATGTTATATAGCATAAGCCATTTCTCTAACTATTCGTGTATCTTTCACAATCAGCAATGTCAACATAGGTGAATGTATAATATGATAATGAAAACGGTTAGTGAACTAAACTGAACAGTTTCAGTGTTTCAGTAAGATCGTAGGAAGTAACAATACTGTACTGAATGCGTCTGGAAATGTGTATAAACAATATGGTAGTGGGATGACGACATTAGTCAGTACGTTAGATCTAGTAAATAAAATAAGTTACATACTAAATGTTATACTAATGTTATCCTGGAACATTATTTTGTATTCATGTAATGTTGTACCTTGTTATTTCACTTGAGTTGTATACTATGTTGATCCGCGTTTTCATCCGGAGTCGATCAGATTCACGTTTTGCCTGACGAGCCTGAGCAGATAAAACTTCTTTTTTTTTATATATATATATATTTATGTGGAGTTTGTGTTGGAGTCTGTGTTGTGCTGGAGGCAGGACGTTTTGGGGGGTTATCAGACTCCATGTCGTCAGCTGAAGTGCCGTTGTTCGCATGATATACTGTAGGATAGAGAGGCTCGGGACTCGGGAGCGCGCATGCACGTCACTTCTGATGGATTTTGCAGGAAATCCGACCCGGAGACCCTTACATATAAATAAGAATATTGGCCTTCAGAGGTAATGGCAAAATCCGAAAAGTGGATCGTTGCAATGTGTGATTACAACCCCTTCAAACACGGGCAATAAAAAAAGGATTCATTTTATAAAAATAGTTACATATAGAACCTTTAAAAGATTTTGGCTTAGGTCGAAGTGCTTCAGAGAAACTTTTTGGGCATCTCAGAAGCAAAAAGTGTCAATAAAACTGTCAGCAGCCCAGTGAGGATGTTTCCTCTGATTTGCCTGAAGGAAGTTATGACAGCGGTATTTACTGAGAAAGTTTTGAGGTTTGCCTGGACTTGTCTGACTGAAAGTAAGGAAAACAAATATTACACATGATAAAAATCAAAGTAGCATTGATTTACCCAAAATGTGTAAACACTGTCTCTTGTGGTATTTTAAACATTAATCTCATAACTGGCTCAACCAATGTGAATTTTGAGTGACACAATGTTTGACTAACCAATGTCAGACTGAAGGAAACCTGTTTGAAAACAGTATTTTTTTTTCAATTCCATTGTTTAAGGAGTTGTTCACTTTTGAAAAAACTTTTGCTGATAATTTACGCACCCCCATGTCATCCAAGATGTCCATGTCTTTCTTTCTTCAGTTGAAAAGAAGGTTTTTGATGAAAACATTCCAGGATTTTTCTCCATATAATGGACTTCAATGGGAACCAAACAGATCAAGGTCCAAAAGACAGTTTCAGTGCAGCTTCAAAGGGCTTTAAACGACAACAGACGATGAATAATGGCTCGTTTCCACTGAGGGGTACGGTACGGTACAGTACAGTACGGGTCGGGTCGGGTACACCATGATCAGGCTTGCGTTTCCACCGCCAACAGTACCCTTACTGATTGGCGTGGTATGCTGGAAAGAAGCGATCGACGTCATTTTCGCGCGAAGAAAGCGACATAGTAAACAATAATGGATGACAGACAGCAGATCTTGTTCTTGCTTCTCGGCATGTTTGTCACTAGAAACAAGCGCTGGCATTAGGCGTTTCCAAGAAGCCATCGCAAAGTCTGACTCAGGAGAATGATCCCGAGGACGAGTTCTTGAACAGCGCGTTCTTGAACGCGCCACTGAGCTCGCTCTGGCTATGCGGCTCCGTTTATCTCTGTATGTTCATTTTAGGCAACAATAAAACGAAATATGTTATAAAACACCACTCTGCTTCTTTTCGATTTCATTTCAATACATTTTAAACATTCTAAAGCACACAAATGTGCAACGCATAGCCTTTATACACTGCATGTAACGTTATTTATAACAAAAATAAATATAAAACAACCCTGCCTCTTTTCGTTTAAATTTAAAAATATTAAACATATTCCAGGCAATATGTAGCCTAATGTATTGCATAGGCTATCGCATTGGTACAAATGTTGCAAAAAACAGCAGATGATCTTGTAATAAAATAAAAAATGACAAAACTGTCTCTTTTTGTTGAATTTCAATTTCATCAATAATAACCATTATAAAAGTATAAGTAAAAAGTACAAAAAGATATACAGTAAAGCTTAAATATAACATCAAGAAACATTAAACTTAATCAAAAAGCCTTTTGCCAAAACTATTGGCCAGGGAACGAATTATAGATTCACAAGAGCAAAGATCACCTGTTAGGTTTATACAAGACGAACTATATCTCATGTTTAACCACTACAAAGAAATCCGAGTCAGCGGCAAACATCAGGATGACTAGCCGAGGAAAGGCTGTTCCAGGCGGGGGACACGAGCGCGAGCGTCCGGTGATCGCTTAGAATGGATCTCAGTCAAATTATCATAAATCTATAAATAAACCACAGATTTGAGCTTTAAAAAACTACTTTCTCGCCTGAAAAACTCTTAAAACTACATTTCGTGACACAATAACAGTAGAATTATATTTCTACTGTACATGCTTCTAATGCCCTTCTAGCACGCGCGAGTGACGATACTCTGTCTACCAATCAGCGTTCTGCAGTGAGTCTAGCTCCACCTTTTAGTACCCTTTCACTCTGCTAGGTACCCTAACGAAAGGGTACCCAAAAAGTGGTACGGTACGGTTCGGCTTTTTGGTACCATTCACAAGTTTTGACAGTGGAAACGCAAATAATTGCGTACCGAACCGAACTGTACCGTACCATACCACTCAGTGGAAACGAGCCATAAAGGTGTTATCAAGCGAAACGATCACTCATTTAAAAAGAAAATAGCAATGTTTAAGTTTTATAAGCTGAAATGGACGTTTTGCTCTGTTCTCTGACGCATGTTTGTGACTCTCCTATTCGAAATGAATGAATCTTTTTCCGAGTCAATTCATTTCGTTCATTGAATTAACCAAATAACTCGGAAAAAGATTCGTTCATTTTGATGAACGAGTTCGACCAGGAGAGTCACAAACGCGCATCACAGAACAGAGCAAGACGAGCATTTGAGCTTATAAAACTTAAACTTTTTTTTTTTTAATTGAGCGATCGATAAGACCCTTATTCATCGTCTGGAATCGTTTAAAGCCCTATGAACAGTTTGTACTGAAACTGTCTTTTGGACCTTGAACCGTTTGGTTCCCACTGAAGTGCATTATATGTTTTCATCAAAAACCTTAGTTTCTTTTCGACTGAAGAAATAAAGACGTGGACATCTTGGATGACATGGGGGTGAGTAAATTATCAGCAAAAGTTTTTCGAAAAGTGAACTACTCCTTTAACGCTAGTGTCTGAAAGTAGTTATCTGCATGCTGTGTGTAGAACATCTTAACATTTAAAACCATTCCCACTCCTTTCCTCATGTTAAAGACATCTCAGAACAGAGAAGCGATTTTATCTTTGTGATCCAGACCAGAACATTTCAAGAATCTCATCCTAAATCATTTCGACTTTGATATTTACTTTTTGCCCGGTCCAGAGCGCAGTGGAGTCAAGCGTCATGACTGCGGCAGCGTGAGCAGTTTGGAAAGTAATGGTAGTCTGCCTTGCGTCAACAACCATTGCCGCTTCTCAGAGCGCCGTGTTGCATCATGGGCCATCAGCTTTGAGCGTTTGCTCCAAGATCCTGTGGGTGTCCGCTATTTTTCTGTAAGTACTGCAGTTTGTCTTAGACGTACTTATTGTTAACTAAATAATTATTTTATGGCCAGTTTGTGTATATCAGATTGATAGTTTGTGTTGATTCATTTGTTGACACCATATCATAAAGTAGAAATGTATTAATGTCACAGGATAGTGGTTTAGATCCAAATGTACTGTTATATGTTCCTGCAGGAGTTTCTAAAGAAGGAGTTTAGTGAGGAAAACATCTTATTCTGGCAGGCCTGTGAATGCTTTAGCCAAGTTCCTGAACATGACAAAAAGCAGGTAATCATCTGCAACACATACACGGTTCCCTCAGTGAGACATATTTAATCTCCTTTCTCCTGTTGATATTTCACCCAACAATGAAGAAAATACTGTCATCAGTTACTCACACTTATGAGCATACAGGTCAATAGGTTTTTATCGTATTTTAATCATATTTTTTTTATGTTTTTCAGCTGTCCCAGAAGGCCAAAGAGATCTACAATCGTTTCCTCTCAAGTAAAGCTACTATGCCGGTGAACATCGATAGTCAAGCTCAACTTGCTGACGACGTCCTGACGGCTCCACAGCCTAACATGTTCAAACAGCCGCAGCTACAGGTCGATGTACACACATGATTAAACTCTCACATTCACGCAGTTGTCATTGTTTGGCAATCAAGAATAACCTTCTTAAACCTCGACTCGGCCCTGCAGATCTTTAACCTGATGAAGATGGACAGTTATGCTCGGTTCCTGAAGTCCACTCTCTATCAGGAGTGTATGATGGCTGAGGTAGAAGGCCGACCTCTCCCTGACCCCTGCCCAATCCCATGTAGTCCTGCGCCCTCCAAGCACAGCTTGAACTCTGACCGTTCCACATTCTCCACACCTAAAAAGGTACTTATCTCACTACAGCAACAATTACTCAAAGAAGGTTTGTGTGTAATGTGAAAAACTATTTTTGTCTACGGATGCCAATGCATCGCTACATAATTTTTACAAATATATTAAAATAATATTAAATAATATCAAATGCATAAAACTATTCATATTAAAGGCACATTATAAAACCTTTTTTGTTTTTGGTAACCTCCAGAGGGCCAAAAGTTACATAGTTTACCTTTTAATATGAAAATATCAATAAATATTATAACAATTTTATTTAATTTCCAGGAAAAATATCTACATTTTGGTATATACATTTACCTTAATATAAAATAATACAATAATGTAAAATTATAAGGTTATATAATATAAAATATTCCATGGTATAACATTTTGGCCATACTGCCCGCTGCTTATTTTCTTGCTTAAAAGCATTTATTGGAGGTTAAGTATACTGACATTTCCTAATATAGCCTGATTCACTGCTATGTTCTATCTTAATTAAGTCATGTTGTTTTACAGGAAAATAAGAAGCCCAAAACCGGCAGATCAAGTGATGACCTCAGAGAGAAACACTCGGATAAGAAAAATGGCTTCTTCTCCCGCTACAGATATCCAAGTATTGGGAAAGGACAAAAGAAAAGAGAAGCCCCAGATTTACCTTACAGTGAGTTTCAAAACAATGTCTCGTGATTTCATTTCTTGTATTCGTAACATCTTATATTTTCGTAGATCTGACCTAGTCTGCTGTTGATGTAGCAATGAGTACTTTAATTCTGATCATGCTTAATATGAGGGCATGTAAACCCTTTAAAAAGTGTTCTTTTGAAAGGAAAACATCATAAACAGTTGTACAAAACTTGATAGACACACATCTAGCTTTATTTGTTCCCTATTACGTGTTTTGAATTGGATGTGAAATGTATTTAATTATGTCCTGTCAGCTCAACTTCAGAAACTTGGGGGTTCGGTGGGGTTGATTTTTATGAAAAACATATTTCAGCTTCTTTCTTTTTGTCACTTTAAAATGTGCAGGAAAAAGCATGTTTTGATTTTTCATAGACATTCATCCTACTAAAATATCTTCCTCATTTATTATTTCTAATGCCTTTAATGTGTAGATTTTTTTCAAAGAGCAAAGAAAAACTTTCTTAAGTTAATTTGTTGATTATTTTGGTAATTGTTTTGTACATTGTAAACACACAAAATCAGTTTAATGTATAAAATATGACATTTGCTATGTTGTGATTGGTTATCCATATGTGTGGACAGACTGTAATGGGCGGAGAGAGTCTCAGGGTTCACTGTCTTCTGGTGCGAGTCAAGAGTTCAACACAACCTGTTCCGGAGGAAAGAATGAGGTAAGAAGATTGGGAGTTACACTAGGGAGTTTAGGAGTGCACTATTAAGAACACTAGGGAGTTACACAAATATTTAGCCATTAGACATGCAAGGGGAGGCTTTTGCAGCAAATCAGAGCAAGAATTGTGATCATACATGACAGTGATTTTACCACAGGTAACGGGGGGTGTTCTTAGTGTAATAGAGGGTATGCGCATGACGTCACTGTCGACCGGAGTACCTGCAATTACTCACAGTGAGTGGCAAAAAGACTGAGTGGCTGTATGTGTTTTCAGCATGAATGCCGCGAAAAACAAACACAATACAAAGAAAGTGGGAAAGAGCTTTGCGATTGACTGTACAACTAGATTTGACAAAAAATCGGAGGCAAATTTTTACAGACTGCTATAGAAAAAAGAGCAAATGGATCGCTGCAATTCACAGAAACAACTGGACTCCAGTCAGCGAAAGGTGGATTTGCCGTTATCATTTTGTGTCTATATGCTGAATTTAGCTGTAAAACCATACCTATATATTTTGTATTGTTATATATATTAAAGGGTTAGTTCAACCAAAAATGAAAATTCTGTCAGTATTTACTCACCCTCATGTTGTTTTAACCCCGTAAGACCTTCGTTCATCTTCGCAACACAAATTAAGATATTTAAGATATTAAGATCACTCCTGCATACTAGTCCATAGGCTTCTTGAGGGAATGACAATTGATGGCATCGAAAAGTCATTAAAGACATCGTTAAAATAGTCCAAGTGACTACAGTGGCTCAATTTTAACTTTATCAAACGACGAGAACACTTTTTGTGCGCAAAAACAAACAAAAATAACGACTTTATTTCAACTATTCACTTCCTTCTCCATGAGCCTGTAAGTCAGTTAACGTAGTGTGATTGCGTAAAGCTACGTCACACGTAGGCTCACTATTGGCCGACGCTGGTCATGTGTGTGATGCGTGACGTACAATAACAGAAGCCTACGCTATTAAACTAGTAACCTGACTCGAGGCAGAGAGAGAAATGAACGAATAGTTGAAATAAAGTCGTTATTTTTGTTGTTTTTTTGCGCACAAAAGTGTTCTCGTCATTTGATAAACTTAAGATTGAGCCCCTGTAGTCACTTGGACTATTTTAACGATGTCTTTAATGACTTTTCGAGGACAGCAAGTCATTCCCTCAAGAAGCCTATGGACTAGTATGCAGGAGCGATCTTAATATCTTAAATATCTTAATTTGTGTTGCGAAGATGTACGAAGGTCTTACGGGGTTGGAACAACATGAGGGTGAGTAAATACTGACAGAATTTTGACATTTTTGGGTGAACTAACCCTTTAACAACTCAGCAATTAAATATTTATCGATGCTTATTCTGTATTATTGGATGTTTTTTTTAATAAACACTGACCAAAAAAAAAATTCTAAAGTTTTAGAGCTGGACGATATATATAGGCTATAAATAACACTGATATAAGTGATCACCTGGATTTATACCTACCTATATTGTATTTATATAAAGCGTTCACAGGCAAATTTGCTTTATGTTTAGGTCTATATTGTTTTAATTTCCCTGGTGTCGAAATCAGGCAAACATAAACATCAGGCAACATGATTCCTGGCTGCATGTCAATATCCATGGATCACTGGATCTTTAGTAAGTTGTGAGGAAGACTATATTGAGTCCAACATTTAGTTTAAATTGATAAAATTGTTTGTTTTAGTCGCATTTTCGCAGTTATTAAATCCAGTCACGCAGCAGATCTTTTGCCACTCAATCAGGCTGGCGGGAAAGTGACGTCAATGCATTCCCTCTATATAAACAAAACATTATTTTGTGTTCCTTTTATAAAAATATTAATAGACAATTTGTCCACTACTAATATGACATAATATGTTTCATTAGTTGCCAGGCAGCATAGCAATTTGGCACATGAACAAACCAATGTTTTTGCCTCTCTGGGTTTGTAATGTGTAAAGCAGTGTGAGCTGAGACGTTCAGGTTCAGTTTGGGAAAAGGACAAAGATCGATGCGGCAGGACGTGTCGAGTAATCCTGCCCGACGGCTCAAGCTGCTCCATTCCTCTACGACAGGGCGTCTCCATCAGACAGGTGCTGCTAGAGCTCTGTCAAAAACAGCACATCAACCTGGCTGCTGTCGACCTCTTCCTCACTGGAGGAGAGAAGGTAGAGACACCCTTCACAACCTTTATAATGTCTCCTTTAGTTATACTGTGAATGCTAAACTTGAGCTTTGTCAGTGATTTCCCATTCCCCCCTCCCATTGTTCCCTTCTTAGCCTTTGGTGTTGGACCAGGATAGTAATACCCTCAGCTCCCGAGAACTTCGTCTTGAGAAACGCACTTTGTTCAGGTACATTTTATTATTATCATCTCTCTCTTACACGTGATCTGGGATATTCTAATGCTCGGTTGAAGGTTCATGATTATCCCTGAACATTTACTGGAGTTTGCACTAGGAAGTCGTCTTCAATACCAGCACAATCTGTTTTCTCTAAGAGGACCAAATGTAGAAAGACTATCAAACAAATGTCTTGTGGTTGGCGCTAAACTATAAATAAATCCACCCTGTTTTCTATTTTCAGACTGGACCTGGTACCCATTAACAGATCGGTTGGGTTGAAAGCAAAACCCACAAAACCTGTGACTGAGGTTCTGCGTCCTGTGGTTGCCAAGTATGGACTCCACCTTGGCGATTTGGTGGCCAGAATAGTAAGTGATTGGCTTTGACCAATTACACATATGGTTGGTACGATACGTTGTATATTTTTGCGTTGCACACTTAATAATCCAAAAATGTCTCATCTAATTTAGGATACATTTTTATAATATTATGGCAAGTTTAAAACGATAGGATTTCCTGGTGTGAGATGTAGACGCAGCTGGTTCAGTGTCATAGGGTGTGGAGTTATGTGGTATAGCTGCTTCTCCGCTGCCGTTTTCCCCCTCTTAAATGTTAAACCGTGCTCATCTGAGCCATCTTTTAGAAGTTAATGGAAGACGGCACTAAGCAGAGAGGAACGACTGTACTGGCTTGAAAACATAGCCACTTCCCAACTCTGCAAAGCATGAAAGCTAGTTTATTTTTAGCCAGTGGTCTATGAAGCTTTTACTTACATGTATATCGCTTAGCGCAGACGTTTAGCATTAAAGGAGTAGTTCATTTTTGAAAAAACTTTTGCTGATAATTTACTCACCCCCATGTCATCCAAGATGTCCATGTATTTCTTTCTTCAGTCGAAAAGACTTTAAGGTTTTTGATGAAAACATTCCAGGATTTTCTCCATATAATGGACTTCAATGGGAACCAAACGGTTCAAGGTCCAAAAGATGGTTTCAGTGCAAACTGCAAACTCTTCAAAGGGCTTTAAACGATTCCAGACGATGAATAAGGGTCTTATCAAGCAAAACGATCGCTCATTTAATAAATAAATTAAAAGTTTAAGTTTTATAAGCTCAAATGCTCGCCTTCGTTCTGTGAAGCACGTTTGTGACTCTCCTGTTCGAACTCGTTCATCAAAATGAACAAATCTTTTTCCGAGTCATTTGGTTCATTCAACGAACGAAACAAACTAATTGACTCGTAAAAAGATTCACAGAACAGAGCAAAGTGAGCGTTTGAGCTTATAAAACTTAAACTTTGTTATTTATTTATTAAATGAGCGATCGTTTCGCTAGATAAGACCCTTATTCATCCTTTGGAATCGTTTAAAGCCCTTTGAACAGTTTGCAGTTTGTACTGAAAGTGTCTTTTGGACCTTGAACCGTTTGGTTCCCATTGAAGTCCATTATATGGAGAAAAATCCTGGAACGTTTTCATCAAAAACCTTAATTTCTTTTAGACTGAAGAAAAAATGACATGGACATCTTGAATGACATGGGGGTGAGTAAATTATCAGCAAAAGTTTATTCAAAAGTGAACTACTCCTTTAATCTTCAAAAGCATAGAAGATCTATATGAGTGTGGGGCATAGCTAAAACTACAGGTTTATGGGAGGTGGGGGTCGAGCAGGCAGGAGGTTGGGGTTCGGGATCAGGATTCACACAGAGAAAGTCGGGAAGCACAAGATCTTCTTTTCTCAGCAAGCCTCTCTGGTCATCGACGCAACTTTTTTTTTTACATTTTTAGAGTGGCGAGACAGAGATTCTGGATCTTGGAGTCCCCATATCAAACCTTGATGGTCTACGAGTTGTATTGGAGAGGGCTGATCCAGCCAAAGGTACACACACACACACGCACACACACAATGATTTTTATACTGTACAAACTATATGTTCTATCTCTTAAACCTACCCATCACAGACATTTTTATGCATTTTTACATAAAAAAACACAATTTAGTTAGATCAAAAAATGTTCCCACAAAGTAACTTTAGTAATTACTGGTATACTATCCTTGTGGGGGCATTTGTTCCTCATAACGTAGGGAATGCCTAAACCACAGACTCACACACACTTATGCATGGCCTTGTGCACTATTTACTTTCCCACTTCTCCCTGATATTATCAAGTAATTGTGTTCAAGGTCATTTCAACATTCCTTTGTGTAATTGTTTTGTTGTATTTCTTCACCAGACAAGTCTAAAACACTCAACTCCAAAACACCAGCTGCCAAGAAAGGTCTCCTAAGAGAGGTGAGATTGATAGTCTGCTTCGTTCCTCTAAATACCCACATGTTGATTCATCCAACAACATACTCTTGATGCATTTACAGCATTCTCTGTATATTACTAACTCTAAACATGTATGGATGTGCTGAGCATGAACTTGTGTGTACATGCATGCTAACGGACTTTTCCAGTGTTCAGATAAAATTCCTATTTTATAAAGGGAAATAAAATCTTCATGAACATGTCAGTCTGTAAGACATTCTGGCAAATACTCAAGTCGTCCTACATCTGTCTTTGCTGCTTTGTTAGAGAGACGACATCTCAGCGGGGAAACCGTTGAAAGGAGATGCTGAAGACAGGCATCCGCGGACAGCAGCGTCAGACAGGAAGAAAGGGAAAAAGAATCATATAGATGAAGCAGAAGGTACTTATTTGACACTTTTCGCTGACTTTTCAGTGTTTATGTCTATTGTTTTTTGTCAAAAGGTATTTGAGAATTTAAGCCACATCTACAAATGTGTTTGCCCCACTGTTGAAAAGAGTATTCTTTCTTTAAAATGGTTTATTTTTCCAATGTTATTTTTTGTATTATTTATATATCATTATAGTATTCATTCATATTTTGTATCAGGCTTTTTTTAAATATATTTTCAGTTATTATTTAAATTTAAGTTTGTTTTTGTAACTTTTTTAAATTGCAGTCTTGTTTTAATTTATTGTAGTTTAATTTATTGTAGTTTAATTTATTGTAATTTTAGTACATATATATATATATTATATATATATAAAATATATAATTTCAATATTATTTAAATTGACAAAAATATATTTTTAATAGTTTTAGTTAACATTAACAACATATATATATATATATATATATATATATTAGGGCTGTCAAACGATTAATCGCGATTAATCACATCCAAAATAAAAGTTTGTTTACATAATATATGTGGGTGCACTGTGTATAATTATTTATATATATAAATACACACACACATGCTTGTGTATATACAGTATGTACATGAATGTATGTATATACAGTATGTACATGACAATATTTCTTAAATATATATATTTAAGAAATATTTTCATGTACATACTGTATATAGATTTATATATAATTTATATTATATATAAATATATATAGATATATATAATTTATATTATATATAAATATTTTATATATAAATAATATTTTTTTCTTAAACATACATGCATGTGTGTGTATTTATGCAGTGTATATATATAAATATACAAAATAATTATACACAGTGCACCCACATTAATATGTAAACACAAAGTTTTTTTTTTTTTTAATTCATTTTTTTTTTTTTTTTTTTTTTTTTACTTTTTTAAAAGCGGCAGAAATGTCCCAATACTTTTTTGGGTCAAGTAACTGTTCCATGTTTTGTCTTTCGGCGTAATTTTATCTGGGTTACAAGCTATAATGGTCACTGTTTACAAGTCTAAATCACTCTTCTTTTCTAGAATTTTTCGAGTTGCTAAGTCGGGCCCAGAGCAGTCGCGTCGATGACCAGAGAGGCTTGCTGAGGAAAGAAGATCTCGTGCTTCCCGACTTTCTCCGTGTGAATCCTGATCCCGAACCCCAACCTCCTGCCTGCTCGACCCCCACCTCCCATAAACCCGGCCACACCACCACAAACCCCCAACCCCCTAAACCCAGCTCCTCTAACGGACACCCCCGTGCACCCAGCCCTGACTCGATCCCTTTCATCACCCCACTCTCCCCTATCCTATGCCCCACTGGTCCCCAGGGCCCGGAGGAGGAAGGGCTGGGCGATCTGACTCTGGTGGGGGAGGGGGACATCACCAGCCCTAACTCCACTCTGCTTCCGTCTCCACCGATCTCTCCGCCTCCTTATGAGGGCAGTCTACCTGAGGCCGACTTCACTCCGCCGGCATGCGTTCACAAGCGGCCCAGCCCAGGTATTTCTTCCGCCTGACTAGCCGTGAGTGTCACTGTGTGTGTGTGCGTGTGGTGGGTGGCATGTCTGAATGGAGTCGTGTAGTATTAAAAACACACAACCCAAATTCATCTGACTGACATACACTTGATAGTGTTGCTCTCACTAATATCATGTTCACAATTACATACACTTCTGTATGAAAAGTTTGGGGTATGCAAGTAATTTTTGTGTGTTTTTGAGTTTATCAAGGCTGCATTTATTTGTTTAATAAAAACATAGTAAAAACAGTAATATTTGGAAATATTATTACAATTTAAAATAGCTATTTTTGTATTTAAATATATTTTAAAAGTATAATTTATCCTGTGATCAAAGCTGAATTTGAAGCCAGACTTCAGTGTCACTTGATCCTTCAGAAATAATTCTGATATGCTGCCTAAAAGCAGAATAAAATTGTGCTGCTTAATATTTTGATAGAAATCACTTTTTTTTATAAAAAAAAAAAAAACGTTTTGACCCCAAACTTTTGAATGATAGTTTAGCTGTTATTGAAATGAAATACTAGTGTGCTGCATACTGCACAGTATATACTATAAACTGCCTGATGTTTCTTTAAGAATAGCATGTGAAACGAAGTGGATTATGCACATAACCATCATTGTAACATGACCTAATTACAAGAAAAAATTCAGTGAGTTATAAACACACAAAATATGGTTATCTTGCAGTTCTTTCATCAGATAAAGGGTTAGATTGCATTGCATTGTGGGATATAGTGTTCTATGCACTGCAGTGTATTCTGTTCTACCCTTCTTTTATCAAATCTAGAAGGGCATTCTGTGTTTGTAGAAAATGTGCATACTATGCTACAGAAATAGTATGAGTAATATACTATGCAATTCAGCTCAGAGTTCATCTATTTATAACTGTGGACTATGTAATGTGTTGAAAGACATTCATTAGTCTTCCATGTTTTGACGCATCCCAAAATAAGACACCACATAGATCATGCTGTAATTTATATCAAAAACTACAATACAAAGACTCTGCTGCTTACAGTGTTTCAGAGGGTTGTAAATAATCATTTCAAAACTGTCTCTTATAGTTTTTTTGTTCTTTTTTACTTTTCATTTTGATACAAGCTGTGCAAATGTGTCTCTACCCATCTAATCATCAATCATAGCCTAAAGTGCCATTCAACAAAGCTGCATTTCAGATTCACGCTATAGCCTACATTGATTGTTGATTTTCCTGCCATCCTGTTTCCTTTGTAGTTGATCATGTTGATTCTGTGTGAATCTGATCATAACTAATAAATGATAGCAAAATCAGACTAGACTTGCTTGTGATCTTGTGTGTGACATCCGATCCCTACAATTCTGTTCAATTTCATCTATCCTGGTGTAATCATCTCTTTATGCTCCATCTTGTACTTTTTGGCATCTTAACTTTCTATATATCTTTTTCTCCCCTTTTTTTCATTCATACTCGTATAGATTGCATTTGAAAATTATACTGGAGCCTTATTGATCCAGATCACTAACCAGTCAGATTCCTCCAAGCACTATTGGTAACATAGCATTTATCCTATAATTAAAAATCTCTGATATGGTGTACAGCATGTTTTTACACAAAAATAATATTTCCAACCTATCAAAGCTGCTAAAATAAGATTTCACTGCATGAAAAGTGACCTATGGGAGCATGACGTGAAGAAAGCTCTGCCATCTACATAATTTGCCTGTTTCCAATGAACATAAATTAGAAATGGTCCTCTCAACACCCCTTATTCTAACTCTTCTTTAGGTTTTTTTGTAGTAATTTAATTTCACTAAACCGGTCATTCTTCAAAAGAGTTGTGCAGGGATTGGGTATTTTGTTGGCCAACCGGAAAGTCAGCATCACCATGGTTCCCTCGACAAATTGGCTTTTGGATTGCTGCAGAAAATAAGGTCTGTGACTTAACAAACCTTAATGATTCTAACACATTCGTGATAATCTTAACCAATGAAGACAACTTTTGTGAAGTTGTGAAGCGTAAATACAATCGGCAGAAGACAAAAGCTAAACCGTAGTCAACATACATTACATCGCGGTCACATGACATTAGTGTCACGAAGCTTCCGACAACTCTTTCAGTTTTTGATATTTGTTTAGATTATAAAAGTTAATAATAATTGTTAATAACAATAATAATATTGTTTTTGTTTTCAAGACACAATCAATAGAATAAATCGTAAAAATATCTTGAGCGTACGTGTGTTCACCACAGACCTCGTTTAGTAAAACATTTAACCAAGACCCCATTTAAAAACAAAAATAAAATTCTAGGTTTTGGCCTACAAAATCACGTCATTCCTGCATATACAAGAAATCTGTATTTATATATAGTTCCAGTAGTTCCCAGTAGCTCCATTCATTGAGTCACTTTTTAGCAATCGCTTGTTTGTTTTTGTTTTCAAGACAATCAAAAGAATCCCAAAAGACCCCATTTAAAAACAAAAATAAAACTGAAAAAAATTGGCATCTTTTTTTACTCGCTTCTAGGTTTTGGCCTACAAAATCACGTCATTCCTGCGTATACAATACATTTATATAATACTTAATTTATTAGTGCATTCTGTTCTGTTTTATTTATTTTTCTTTTTTTTATGTATAGTAAAGTATGTGGCTATATGCATATGTGCTGTATTGTTTTCATTATGTCTCCTATGTGCAATTTGTATATTGTTGTAATTTAATTGTATTTTTGATACCTTGGCATTAATAATAATTTTTAAAAAAGTATTTATATAATACTATATTTAGGGCTGTGCAAAAATTAATTGCGATTAATCGCATTCAAAATAAAAGTCTGTGTTTACATAATATATTTGTGTGTGCTGTATATAATTATTTTGTATATATAAAGGATGTATATATTTAAGAAAATGTGTTATTCATATATAAAATATTTCTATTTAGATAATTTAGATTATGTATTTATATATATATATACAGAATTTAAGCGCAAATAATTCTTAAATATATACATGCATGCATAGGTATTTATATATACAAAATAATTATATACAGCACACACAAATATATTATGTAAACACAGACTTTTATTTTGGATGCGATTAATCGCAATTAATTTTAGCACAGCCCTACTATATATATTTTTGGGCTGAGTTTTGATTGATTGGTTTATTTAAAACTAATGGGGACATACTGCCACCTTGTGGTTTGGTGTCACTGTCAAATTGATGTTGCTCACTCACAGTCACAAGTTTTCGAGAGCATTAATAAAAAAGTGAACGAATACACACTATTATGAATAATATCAATGATTAGGAAAAATGTCCAATCGCATTTTGGACATGCTGTAGGTAGAATAGAACAATAGAACATGCTGTCTCCTAATTAATTTGAACTTTATTAGGCGTACGTTTATTAATTTTAAATTTGTATATATATTCCAGAGCATTTCCATGGTCTGAACGAAATGAGGATGTGATCCAACCTAAACCTTACTTTCATTTAGCTTGAATAGCCTACAACAGATTCTTCTGGTTCCCCTTTCCCACGTTCTCTCTGTGTATTTCTTTGTCTGTGCTTTGCTGACTTGTTTGCAAACTTTTCTCCAGGTACAGAGGAAGGAAGCTCGTGCACTTCTTCAGCGGTCAATAACCAGCACCCCTCCTCAACATCCCAAGCGGACTCCTCTGTGCGGGACAGGAGGCTCGGTGTGGAGGGGGTCACTCTGGAGGACAGCTTCGAGGGTTACAAAGCCGAGCTTCGCCAGTGCCAGAACAAAATGAGAAATGGCATTCACCCCTCCACAGAAGCGTCCCGTCCCCTCAGCGGGGTGCTGGAAGTCAACGAGAGCGACACAGTGCAATACAAAGCAACGTTTGTCTGAAGGAAGCTGCTTGTTGGACATTTTCAAAGACTGATATGGAGCCAAAATGTGCATGTGGAAAATATTGTGTATGTAAATAATGTGACCTAAGATTGAAGAGGTTACTCGTTCATATTTTGTAACTCACGACCATTCTTTATTTAATGAGTGGCTAATTAGTGTTCAGTGTTAGATTGAAGTCATAGTGCACATCAGAATAACTCGGGAGGTAAACGCAAATGGTTTCAGTAGCCTAATTATAGTGGAATTAATGCAACAGTTCCAATAAATTCCCTTGGATTTTATTTTTATTTTTCCCAAGGCTGTCTTCTATTGTAATTTTGGAAATGCAAACACATCTAGTTTAACACGGACTCGGTTATAAAAGCCACAAAAATGAATGATTATTATTAAAAATACGTTTTAAGAATGAACTATTTTTGTCTGTGTGTGGGTTCACTATTTGTTTGTTGTGAATATTGTATGATCCAAGTGCTGCTGGGTAGATGCTCACAAATTGTAGTCAGACACTGATTCCAAATTACATGACAATAACAATTATTACACATTTAGGGTAATATAATCGGACTACTTTTAGGTTATTTTAAACCTAACTCCTTTATCACATTGATTTGAATAGGATAATCTTGTACCATATTGATATACAAAGAGAAAGAAAATATATTCCATTCTTTGTTATCAACAACATGAAGTGCTTTAAATATCACATTACGCCAGGGTTTCCCAAACTGGGGTTTGTGAGTTTAATAAAAGCATTTTTATAGAGTTAGCCTATTTTATTCAACCTTCTTGCTCTTAAATAGACCTGACTCATTCCTAGCTTTGATATTCTGTGTTTTGCAGCTCACACTATTTTTTAACAGCACGGATGTGTCTTTAATGAGACAACTAAATAAATTATGCGGTTTATACTTGGTATTAAAAATTAAAATAGCCTACTTCAAGCACACACCAGTTTATCCCTACATGACCTCATAAAAACTATTATACTTCATACTTTTTACTGTATCGTCCTGAAAATCAATTTTTTTTAGGTCATTACATTGTTTGGATAATAAGAAACAAATTGAATAAAGATATTTAAAAAAAAAAAAAAAAAAATTTAATCCTATGTTATTCCTATAGAGGACACCAGGACCCATTTACTAAGAAAATTAAAAGACATGAATTGGCAAAAACAATGGTGTGTTTTTTTTTCATTCACCAATCAATTAGGTTTCAATCTTTTTTAATCACAACTTTATATAAAGATGATTCTCAACTATGTTATAACAGAATGATTTGATATACCATTTTACTTTATGCAATATGTGAACATAAATGACATTCTCTTTCCATGCAATGCACACTGTAATAATGTGTTCAATTATGTGATATTCATTAGAATATCTCATATTTTATAAGAATATTGACATAATCGTTTATTTCCCTATTCACTTGTTATGTCTTCTGATAAACATGCTGTGAGTCCTGGTGTCTCCAGAGGTCAAGTATGAAATCGATGTCCTATTTCATACCAGAAAGTCATATTCTGATCTGAAACCCCATAAGAAAGTTTTTTTCTTTCTTTTTGAGATGTTGATTTCTGACAAACAATTTGAAAATTAGTCAGATTTAAAATGATAATTACAAAATATTATAATATTTCCATAAGAGTGCTAAATTCCCAGACGGCAATATAGTGTCGGTCCATATCTGGTACATGTGTACATCTGGCACATTGTGACTGTGGTTATAACAATATACAATATAAATACTGTTCGTTTTCTCACACAAACCGCTCGTTTCGTCTTAAGCCATCAATGTGTACTTACAATTACAAGTCATTAAATCATGTTTAGTTTGGACGGAGTTCTCTGTGCATGCTCTTTCAGGTGGTGACCATAGACCTGCATTATATGACTGACAGACAAGAACGGCTTGACCTAAAAATATCAAAATTGAAAATACTGCGGAAACAAAGCTACATCTTGGATGCCCTTGAGGTAAGCAAAAACATACCAAAAATAATTTTAAAGTGAACTATCCCTTTAACATCCAAACATGTATGTTGTCAAGGAAATTAGCTCAAACGTAATGTTTTCTAAATAAGGAAAACACTCATTGCTGGGTCTCGGGAGGATTGTCCATTGTTCTACAGGATGGCTCTATAGAGGGCGCTGTTTACATACTCAACTTCCGAGGTGAGAGGAAGTTCTTCAGGTTGTTCTATGGTGTCTGCATCTGGTGTCCATCACGATCAAAACACTGTCCCATCCGCGCTGCGTGCCCGCGCTCTTCAGCATGAGCCGAAAAAGAAACCACTGCTACATGGAAACAGGCCCGTCCTCCGAGTCCCAGGGCGCGTTCATTGACAACACGGGCTCCTTCAGCCGAGACGACGAGGATTTCTCCGAGCTCGAGCCCGACGAGCAGCTGGTGTGCTCGGTAACCGAGATCACGGAGCACCTGGGCAGGAACATCACGGTGGTGCTCGAGTCCGCGCTGTCCGAGATACGCAAACTGGTCAGCGTCCGGATCCGAGTCCTGAAGATGGAGCTCCGCGAGAAAACCGACGAGATCGAGCTCCTGAAGGCCAAGCTGGAGTCGACGGAGAAAGACGGGAGGGTTTCCAACTCCAGCAGCCTGGACGCCAGGAAACCAGAGCACCAACCGGTCCAGAAACACAGCGCCGACCCGAAGAAAAGCAAACCCGGGACGCCCGTGGTGAAGAAGGAAAACATCAACGCCATCTGCGACTATCTGATGAAGGACAAGAACCAGCGGGGCGCTGCTGAAGTGGAGAGCGACCACAGCAGTCAGGCCTTCGGGTCCGACGCGCAGCCGCACGCGTCGCTGAGCCTGTGGACGGACAGCGGGTCCGCGGACACGGACGCCGACGCGGACATCTTCAACATGCTGCCCTCGGCCAGCAAGCGCTTGTATGACTACGAGTGGATGGCAGGGGTCGAGCTCAACTCAGGCGAGTTTAAAGGTCAGTTACTGCTCAGTGCAGTCTTGTGGACACGGGTTGTTTATAGGAGTCTATGTGTACACACTGTTTGTGTTTGATTCATTGCCGTAATCATGTAATGGTATGCATCCATGCATGATAGTATTTAGATGAAGTTTGCATGCATTGTAGCATAATATGCATGCATGCATTATTTTGTAGAATAATATGCATGCATTTGATGTGTATATATTCACAATACATGAAAACAAAATGCATGTAGCTGCTTACATGCATGCATGCATGCATGACTATATGCATGTAATTTATATTATGGATGCATTATAGAATACATATAGACGCAAATAGTTCTATAAAGTGTATGTATCCATGTAGTAGGCTACACATGCATTGCCTTGTGCATAATATACGTGCAAAGTAGTATATACAGTATGCATTGATCCATGTGCTCCTCTGCTTCTTTAGGTGATGCTGAAACCAAATGCGAGGACGTTCCCCCTGTGGGTGAGGATGAAGAAAATGAAGACTCTGAAGGAGGAAGAGGAAGTCTGAGGTCGGTGTCTGATCATTTTCCTCTGGACACTCAGGGCTCCCCTCGAGAGGACAGGAGCAGCCCAGCGGAGGACAGTATGGACCGAATGGAGCCAGGTCAGTGTTTTCAAAGTGGAATAATTGTGTGTTGTGCACTTCTGACTCTTATCTGAACATATAAGTGATCTTGATGCACCAATATAACATTTTGATACCGATAGTTAGGAAACTGTGTAATGCGCTGCACACAGGGAACGCTCTTTTCTAGTACATTACTGTAATATTAGAGATTAAAATTAACAACAGTGCTCAAACTATTTTATTCAACTGAATATAATTATTTAAATAATTATCAGTAAATCAGCTCCTCTCTGGTGTTCTTGTAGCTAATTAACTAACTGTAAACATTGAATAACTTTCCTAATGTAGATACACCGTTAACATATTGTCTTTTTGCTGTTGAAACTCTGATTAAGAGATTAAATGAGACATGATTCATTTCGGTAAGTTGTTCAGTATCCTTCCACATAGCTTCTGATGTTCATACATGTTTTTCGAGCTGTAAGATTGTATTAAAGTGGAAGAACAAACTGAACACCATAACGCCATTTATAACTTCTTGATGAAATGGACTGTTTTTAGGATGACCTAAAACTTTGAGTTTTCACAAGGTTTTGAAGTAGCCTATTTAAATCATTCTGATATTGCAAGCCATTGCAATATGCATATCTCGATATGTACAAATGTGATATTTTTATTATTTCGATATACTACGTAGCTTTAATTCCGATGTCTATGTAGAAGATAGAAAGTTTGTTTAAATGGTGTAAACTAAATATTTGGTTATTGGTTAACATTATCCAAAATAACATATTTATTTACACATTTTCTCTGGAATACAATACATCGGTGAATCATTCACAGTATGGCCTGGAATTTGCATTTAAAATAAAATCACTTGTTTTTATACTTCTGCCTAAACATGAAAGTTGATTCATTTATCATCACCTTCATGATGTTTTCAATCCATATTACTTACTTTCTTTTATGTAACATGATACATATGATACACTAGCATTCAAAAGCTTGGGGTTGGTAAGATTAAATATATATATATATATATATATATATATTAGGGCTGTGCAAAAGTTAATTGCGATTAATCGCATCCAAAATAAAAGTCTGTGTTTACATAGTATATTTGTGTGTGCTGTATATAATTATTTTGTATATATAAATACACACACATGCATGTATATGTTTAAGAAAATGTGTTATTCCTATATAAAATATTTATATTTGTATAATATAGATTATGTATTTATATATATATACAGAATTTAAGCGCAAATAATTCTTAAATATATACATGCATGCATAGGTATTTATATATACAAAATAATTATATACAGCACACTCAAATATATTATGTAAAACAGACTTTTATTTTGGATGCGATTAATCGCAATTAACTTTTGCACAGCCCTAATATATATATATATATATATATATATATATATATATATATATATATATATATATAATATATATATGAAGAGTTCAGATGCAAAAGCCTCTAAGTGCCATTTGAAATTTTCTTCTAGAATGATCATTTTTATCAAGCTTGTATATTTAAGTTCAGTAATTTCACTTAAATGGCAATTCATAGGTAATCTTCATTGTCATTTAAGTGAAATTACTGAACTTAAATATATGAGCTTGATAAAAATTATCATTTTAGAAGAAAATTTCAAATGGCACTTAGAGGCTTTTGCATCTGAACTCTTCATATATATATATATATATATATATATAAAAAAAATAATAAATAAATATATAACATGCAGTGAAATATTTGACATGCAGTGAACATGCAGTGAAATATATATATTATTCAATATTGTGAAATATTATTACAATTCAAAATAACTCCTTTCTTTGTATTTTTTATTCCTGTGATCAAAGCTGAATTTTCAGCATCATTACTCCATTCAGAGTCACATGATCCTTCAGAAATCATTATGATAGGCTGATTTGCTGTTCAAGAAAGATATATTATTTTTTATTATCAGTTTTGCAAACAGTTGTGGTGCGTAATGTTTCTGGAACCAGTGGTACAAGAACTAAATCTTTAATAAATGTCTATAATGTATCATCTAACAATGAGCAATACATTTGTCACAGTATTTATTAACCTTCAAATGGTCTTCGTTTCCTGTTTACACTTCTGGGTCTATACGACCTCAACAATTGATTGAGTAATTGTACAAAAAATATAAATTTTTAATCATACAAATAATAATATATATTTTTTGTTTACTTCTCATCTATTCATTAATGTTGTGTTTTTGGAGATATAAAGTACTTTTGTATCCATCCATATATACCACACAATTCCTCAACTACACCATTAGCTTGCATATGAAATATTATTTTTGTTATAATGCATTGCATTTATGCTCTCTTGTACAAGGCCTTCATTTCCATGTAAAAATTTTCAGATTATGCCGGATTTTTTGTTTTTTTGACACATGAAGAATATATATTTTTTTTCACATTTCCAACAACTGAATCAAGCCCAGTTTTTTGTGTGTGCGTATAGATAGATAATGTATGAAAAGTCACAAAATATTATTCCACTGAGATGAAGGGAACCTTTTTTTTTACTAAGTAAAAGTCGATTGGGGTCGTATAGACCCCATGACCCGATTGAGGGCTACTCTTTCTTAAAGTCCCTGTAAAGTGGACAACAAAAAAATTCTAAACACATTATAAATGTATTGCTAAAACATATTACAAAGACTGTGAACTGTGAAGTACTGAAATACGGAGTTAGATAGGAGTTAGTTTTAGTTCATAAAAATCTGGGTGTTCATTGTTAGCAGTGGTGGAATGTAACGAAGGACAAATACTTTGTTACTTTACTTGAGTACATTTTTCACGTATCTTTACTTTACTTAAGTAGAATAAATAGCGCATACTTTTTACTTTTACTTCGTTACATTTTGCAGCAATTATTATACTTTCTACTCCACTACATTTCTACAACTTCGGTTACATTTTCTGATCAGTTTTTCCCCTGCCAAAACGTAATCTGACCGTCCGTCCTTTGCACGTTTGTCTCACCAGTGACGTTTGGTCGCCATAGAGCCTCCATTTTTGCACTCAGGTCTAAGTCCCATGGCCCTTTATCAGAACCCAGAGTTTCAAGAAGATTGGAGAAACTTATTTTTTCGCAAAAAACAAAACAAAACAAAAACGACAGGGGTAACACTGTCGTTTTTTTTTTGGGTCGAAATTTTTAGTTTCTCCAATCTTCTTGAAACTCTGGATTCTCAATATCTCAGCTCTGGAAGGGTCTAGAGCCTCCATTTTTGCACTCAGGTCTAAGTCCCATGGCCCTCTATCAGAATCCAGAGTTTCAAAAAGATTAGAGAAACGTATTTTTTCTGTCGTTTTTTTTTTTTGGGTCGAAATTTTGAGTTTCTCCAATCTTCTTGAAACTCTGGATTCTGATAGAGGGCCATGGGCCTTAGACCTGAGTGCCAAAATGGAGGCTCTAGATATATCAACCCGGTCACACTAAATGCGTCTCGCACGCAGTGTGTTTATAGTGCAATTTATACGCGAAAATTAGTTTTTACATGCGTAGGAAATGCACCATGTGTAATATACGTTTGGTTAGGATTATGGCAAGCCAAGAGGTTCAGTATTACACCATAAATTAATCGCGTTTACTGCCATAGTTATTAACGTATAGTAAGGATAAGCATGATGTGTATATTGCCTAACTGCAAGCTTGTTTCAGAAATGGTGACATTTTTTTTCATCATTATTGAACATCATTATAGGAGTATTAGGTTGAATGAGTTAGAATTAAATGTTTTATTAATCATTAGAAAATAGACATTAAGAAAATAAATTATGCAAGTACTTTTACTTTTAATACTTAAAGTACATTTAAAATCAGGTACTTTTTACTTTTTACTTAAGTATGGTTGTCATTGTGTTACTTCTACTTTTACTAAAGTAAATATTTATCTGGTTATTTGTATTTTCACTTAAGTACTGAGATTCAGTACTTCCTCCACCACTGATTGTTAGTTCACAGAGCATCAACGGTAACACTTTATAATAACTACACGCTAATAATCATTAGTTAAGCATGAGTAAACCATTAATTCATCATTCATAAAGCATTAATAGACATTAATAAGCAGTTCATAAATACAGCTATAAATGCTTTCTTCTTGATTTAAAAGCATATCTATAATTTGTTTAATAATTGTATTTTCATCCTTTTATTAAAGATCAATTTATCATTTCTAAATGAAGAATTGCATTTTTTATTAACCAGTTATTTAAGAGTTTTCAGTGGTTCACGATTACCGAGCGAGTAAGTAAATGATTAATAAACTATTTAAATGTACATTCATACATCTTATTATTCAGACATATAGTGATGGTTACTTAATGTGTTAATAAATGCTTTATTAACATGAATTAATGCTGTAATTAAGGGTTGATTTGGGTAGTTATAAAGCATTTAGTAGTGGTCAGTTAACTATGTTCGTGAGCTCATCTAAAGTGAGGACTAGTCATGCCTTGTAAAGCATTTTTAAAGGCTGTTAAATATTTCAATGTTCTGTATCACTGCGTTGTGTTTGTTACATTTTACTGTTTAGAAGATATACGAGTCTTTAAATCTCCTTTATAAATGCTTTACAAAGCATGAATAGTCCTCACTTTAGATTAGCTCACAAAAATAGTTAACTGACCACTACTAAATGCTTTATAACTACCTGTATTTACTACATTTACTTACACTTTCTAAGTGATCTTATGAATGACTGACAAACTCTTAAACAACTGGTTTGTAAATAATGTTATACTTCATTTAGAAATTATTAATTGATCATTAACAAAGTATGAAAATACAATCATTAAACGCATTATAGATATGCTTATAAATCAAGAAAAAAGCATCTATAGCTATATTTATAAACTGCATATTAATGTCTATTAATTAGGGCTGTGCAAAAATTAATCGCGATTAATCGCATCCAAAATAAGTCTGTGTTTACATAATATATTTGTGTGTGCTGTATATAATTATTTTGTATATATAAATACCTATGCATGCATGTATATATTTAAGACTTATTTGCGCTTAAATTCTGTATATATATATATATATATATATATATATATATATATAAATATTTTATATATGAATAACACATTTTCTTAAATATATACATGCATGTGTGTGTATTTATATATACAAAATAATTATATACAGCACACACAAATATATTATGTAAACACAGACTTTTATTTTGGATGCGATTAATCGCAATTAATTTTTGCACAGCCCTACTATTAATGTTTTATAAATGATGAATTAACTGTTAACTCATGCTTAACTAATGATTAATAATGTGCAGTTGTTATAAAGTGTTACCGCATCAACTAATGTTAACAAATACAACCTTTAATTTTAATAATATATTAGTAAATGTTGAAATTAATATGAACTAAGTTTAATAAATGCTGTAGAAGTATTGTTCATTCTTAGTTCACGTTAACTAATAGATAGTTAACCATTGATCCTTATTGTAAAGTGTTACCGTAATAATAATGCCTGTTCTATGGAAGAAGAATTGTCATTTTTGTATGAACTATCTCTTTAAATCCTCTTGATGTGATAGTGAAATATGAGTTGATTTCCCGTGGCTCTCTTCCAGGCCAGCAGTTCTCCTCTCACACCTTCATCTGCCCCTACTGTGGGACCCTTTGCCCGGACTCCTCTTTCCTGGAGGAACACGTCAAGCTGGTGCATCACGAGGAGAGCGCTCTCCAGTCTCCGCCGGGCAGTTCTTCCTCTCGCGGGGAGGGCGACTCGGGCGAGGCGGGACGAGCTCCGGGAGGCCCGGAAGGAGTCGCCGGCAGGGGCGCGCGGGAGAAGAAAGTGGAGGGCGGCTACGAGTGCGGGGACTGTGGCCGGCATTTCAACTATCTGGGAAACTTGCGGCAGCACCAGCGCATCCACACCGGCGAGAAGCCCTTCGTTTGTCCCGAGTGCGGAGAGCGTTTCCGGCACGCCGCGCGTCTCAAGAGCCACCGCCTCAGTCACAGCGGAGCCCAGAGCCCCTTCCCATGCCCGCAGTGCGGTAAGGGCTTCCCAGTGCTGTCCGGACTGAAGCGGCACCAGCGTGTGCACACGGGAGAGAGCCCGTACGCCTGTCCCCAGTGCGGCCGCAGGTTCAAAGAGCTGGGCAACTTATACACACACATGCGCATTCACAGCGGCGCTACGCCATACACTTGCTACCAGTGTGGGCGGAGCTTCAGGCACCTGGGCACATATAAGAGTCATCGCTGTCTGCCCGCCACCCAGTTACCCAGCGGACACAGTCCAGCGTGGGCGCAGGAAGACAAGGTGCAAACTGGGTGATAGCCAGGTGACAGATCTGTTCAAAAAGCGGTCCATTACTTCCTCAACAGCTGGTTCAGGATCAATTTCAAACCCGATTGGCCGAAGAAAGACGTGAGAAATGTCGCTATGACTGGATCAGGTTTCATCATGAACAGGAAGCTGTATGATTTAGCGCATATTTCTCATTTAAGTCATGTTTAACGGTACATTGCTGCTCGGTTTTGAAACATTGCGCAATAATATCTTCCAACTTCAAACATAAAGTGTGTTTGAATGTCCATACATGGTGTTTCAAGATGAATTCATCTTTTTATTCAGACTTTTTGTAAACTTTTTTTTTTTTTTGTAAAAATTTTTTTAGTACTAGATAGTAGGTCCACAAGGCCAGATTAACTGCCTTACAAAACTAATTTAACAACCGTGTAAGTTAAATTAAATAATGATGATGATTATGATGACTCCATTTGACATGACCTTTTCCACACTTTACAAAAAAGTACCATGGTATCAGACTGTCATGGAATGTCATTTAGATATATACAAATTGTATTGAATTATATCAGTGTAACAATATGTACACTGTTGTTCAAAAGTTTGAGGTTTTTAAATGATTTTGAAAGATATTTGTTTGATCATAAATTCAGTAATATTGTGAAATATTAATACAAATTAAAACTGTTTTCAGGTTTTATTACATTTTAATGCAATTTAGTCGTAAAATAAAAATGTATCAGCATTTACTTGAAATGGAGAAACTGTAACGTTACAAATGCCTTTGCTACTATCACTTTTGACCATCTTAAAGTTGCACTTTTTAAGTATAACATCATGAATCCATCTTCTAAACCGTGTTTTTGTCTTATTCTAAATCACTACGATACGCGTATAATAAGGGTTTATGCTTGGACTATTTCAGTCCGGGCGAGAAGACAACCGCTGCGGAGTAGTCCAGTACCTGCGTGACTCGTCATAGATAAACAGAGAGAAGTAGTTCCGCCTACAATGTTCTTCCGCAAGAAGACGCATGCAGTTTTGTTTACCAGCTAGAAAAAATGAACGAATTCCCTAAAAACAACAACTCTTGAACACCAGTGTACGAAGAATACCATGATATGTATCAGAATGCAAATCCAGTCATTAGTAATCAAATAATCCAATAATCAAGTTACCATAAACGCTAGTGAAATGTAGATGATACTAATTTCTGTAAGAGTTGACCACCATACAACTGATCTAATACAATTTTTAATACAACTGAACGTAGTTTCAGCAACTCAAAATCATGTTATTGAAAAATCAGGTAGTTTACAGTGTCATTTTGAAAAGACAGCCTCTCGAGCACGGTTAAAGAAGTGCCGTTGTGAGTGCTGCCATCCTGCGGATGGCTTGTGTTACTGCATCGGTATCACCTGGGAGTCAGTGTATCTGTATTTTCAATTTGTTCCAATTGTGATCTCACTATATTAACGCGTTTTTTATTTATATTAGTGAATTTGTTTATATATGTCTACCTGTATTTTAACAACTTATGCGTTTGGGAAAAAATATACTACCTAAATGGAAAAATATGGCTAACTACAGGACACACACAATGATGGGAATGACTGAATGAAGTGTTGGAAATGCAAGCAATGCATCAGATGGATCTTTGATTTTTTTTTTCCCCATAGTGTTAATATCAAAATATTGAATGTTAAATAGGACAAAAAGGTACATTTTTTTTATTTCTCAATTGAATGATCTCTACAAGGCAACCTGAACTGTAACTAATAAATAATATTAAGCTATGGTTCTAGTTATTTAGTCTATAAGCGGTTATTAATGATATGACATTTATCAAAGCACATTAAAAATAACATTGCGTGTGATGTGTGTTTTGTTTCCCCTTATTAAATTGCTATGGTCACAACTCAAAAGTAGTTATTGACACAGGCTGAATGAATGTCTTTGACAGGTTGAATGCTGCTGCTGTCATTCTTCCTGGAAATGCCTCTCAGGTTTGCATCAGAAAAAAAGCTGAGGTGAACGTGTGTATCACAAGAGACACAAGAGATAAAGAACAACATTCAGACATTGGAACTATTTTCTTTATTAGAGGGTGACAAGTCACAGTCAGCAATCTCAACGCTTTAATAACACACTGCCAGCTTGACTCGCCGTTTCTCCAGGAGATTGCAGGGCTGTGTGTGACTGAAAGACGTTTCCGAGAAAACACTTTGTGGACAAGCAGCAAATTCTCCCACACAAGTAAGGTATACAAAGTGAACTGTTGATCTTTATAGATGAAATATAATTAACTATAGGCTAAAGGACAATTTGATATATGGATAAATCTACATTTAGATGTGTTTGAAAAAAATGTCCTCTCTTGCTTTTGTAACCATATAACCCTTACAGCTTTATTTTAAACTTAATTTCTTGCCCGAAAAAAAAACATGAAAGGGGTAACACTGTCGTTTTTTTTTTTTCGGGTCAAAATTTTGAGTTTCGATATCTCAGCTCTGGAAGGGTCTACTCTAGAGCCTCCATTTTTGCACTCAGGTCAAAGTCTCGCGGCCCTCTATCATAATCCAGAGTTTTGAGAAGATTGGAGAAACTTGATTTTTCGCCCGAAAATGAAAAAAAAAACGAAAGGGGTAACACTGTCGTTTTTTTTTCGGGTCGAAATTTTGAGTTTCGATATCTCAGCTCTGGAAGGGTCTAGAGCCTCCATTTTTGCACTCAGGTCAAAGTCTCACGGCCCTCTATCATAATCCAGAGTTTTGAGAAGATTGGAGAAACTTGATTTTTCGCCCAAAAACGAAAAAAAACGAAAGGGGTAACACTGTCGTTTTTTTTTTCGGGTCGAAATTTTGAGTTTCGATATCTCAGCTCTGGAAGGGTCTAGAGCCTCCATTTTTGCACTCAGGTCAAAGTCTCAAGGCCCTCTATCAGAATCCAGAGTTTTGAGAAGATTGGAGAAACTTGATTTTTCGCCCGAAAACGAAAAAAACGAAAGGGGTAACACTGTCGTTTTTTTTTCGGGTCGAAATTTTGGGTTTCGATATCTCAGCTCTGGAAGGGTCTAGAGCCTCCATTTTTGCACTCAGGTCAAAGTCTCGCGGCCCTCTATCATAATCCAGAGTTTTGAGAAGATTGGAGAAACTTGATTTTTCGCCCGAAAATGAAAAAAAAAAACGAAAGGGGTAACACTGTCGTTTTTTTTTCGGGTCGAAATTTTGAGTTTCGATATCTCAGCTCTGGAAGGGTCTAGAGCCTCCATTTTTGCACTCAGGTCAAAGTCTCACGGCCCTCTATCATAATCCAGAGTTTTGAGAAGATTGGAGAAACTTGATTTTTCGCCCGAAAACGAAAAAAACGAAAGGGGTAACACTGTCGTTTTTTTTTTCGGGTCGAAATTTTGGGTTTCGATATCTCAGCTCTGGAAGGGTCTAGAGCCTCCATTTTTGCACTCAGGTCAAAGTCTCAAGGCCCTCTATCATAATCCAGAGTTTTGAGAAGATTGGAGAAACTTGATTTTTCGCCCGAAAACGAAAAAAACGAAAGGGGTAACACTGTCGTTTTTTTTTCGGGTCGAAATTTTGAGTTTCGATATCTCAGCTCTGGAAGGGTCTAGAGCCTCCATTTTTGCACTCAGGTCAAAGTCTCGCGGCCCTCTATCATAATCCAGAGTTTTGAGAAGATTGGAGAAACTTGATTTTTCGCCCAAAATGAAAAAAAAAAACGAAAGGGGTAACACTGTCGTTTTTTTTTCGGGTCGAAATTTTGAGTTTCGATATCTCAGCTCTGGAAGGGTCTAGAGCCTCCATTTTTGCACTCAGGTCAAAGTCTCGCAGCCCTCTATCATAATCCAGAGTTTTGAGAAGATTGGAGAAACTTGATTTTTCGCCCAAAAACTAAAAAAAACGAAAGGGGTAACACTGTCGTTTTTTTTTCGGGTCGAAATTTTGAGTTTCGATATCTCAGCTCTGGAAGGGTCTAGAGCCTCCATTTTTGCACTCAAGTCAAAGTCTCACAGCCCTCTATCATAATCCAGAGTTTTGAGAAGATTGGAGAAACTTGATTTTTCGCCCGAAAACGAAAAAAACGAAAGGGGTAACACTGTCGTTTTTTTTTCGGGTCGAAATTTTGAGTTTCGATATCTCAGCTCTGGAAGGGTCTAGAGCCTCCATTTTTGCACTCAGGTCAAAGTCTCGCGGCCCTCTATCATAATCCAGAGTTTTGAGAAGATTGGAGAAACTTGATTTTTCGCCCAAAAACGAAAAAAAACGAAAGGGGTAACACTGTCGTTTTTTTTTCGGGTCGAAATTTTGAGTTTCGATATCTCAGCTCTGGAAGGGTCTAGAGCCTCCATTTTTGCACTCAGGTCAAAGTCTCACAGCCCTCTATCATAATCCAGAGTTTTGAGAAGATTGGAGAAACTTGATTTTTCGCCCGAAAACGAAAAAAAAACGAAAGGGGTAACACTGTCGTTTTTTTTTCGGGTCGAAATTTTGAGTTTCGATATCTCAGCTCTGGAAGGGTCTAGAGCCTCCATTTTTGCACTCAGGTCAAAGTCTCACAGCCCTCTATCATAATCCAGAGTTTTGAGAAGATTGGAGAAACTTAATTTTTCGCCCAAAAACGAAAAAAAACGAAAGGGGTAACACTGTCGTTTTTTTTTCGGGTCGAAATTTTGAGTTTCGATATCTCAGCTCTGGAAGGGTCTAGAGCCTCCATTTTTGCACTCAGGTCAAAGTCTCACAGCCCTCTATCATAATCCAGAGTTTTGAGAAGATTGGAGAAACTTAATTTTTCGCCCAAAAACGAAAAAAAACGAAAGGGGTAACACTGTCGTTTTTTTTTCGGGTCGAAATTTTGAGTTTCGATATCTCAGCTCTGGAAGGGTCTAGAGCCTCCATTTTTGCACTCAGGTCAAAGTCTCACAGCCCTCTATCATAATCCAGAGTTTTGAGAAGATTGGAGAAACTTAATTTTTCGCCCGAAAATGAAAAAAAACGAAAGGGGTAACACTGTCGTTTTTTTTTCG